GCTGGAAGAGACCCAAGTCATCTCATCCAAGCGCTCTTGGGTGAAATTCAAATTTATTAAGACATATGAAAATATTAAAAAACAATATAAAAAAACAAAAGGTCACCTCTACAAAGTACAACGAGAAATAGCATAATCACAAAGCCAAGTGTGCTCTTCATGCTTTCAAGTCTATTTATCCTTCTATTAAAAAAAAAAATAAAAATAAAAAAGATAAATTAAGTAATTTGAGAAGGACTTTTTATTATATGAATAATTAAGTTGCTCATCATATGTTGGATTAGTTTGTATTTATAGGTAAAATGTTGGTATAAGTGAATATGAATGAATACCAAATCTATTATACGTCATATATATGCATACAATTTACAAATGTTTTAATATCTTGTTTGTTAAATTACTAAATTTAAGGGCAAGAGATAAGTAAGATGCATTGCATAACTCACGACTTACTTTATACATTGTTAATAAACGTTTATATTATAAGATGCAATAAAAGATTCAATTGATGGAAATTAGATTTTTCAGTTTTGTATAATAATGTATGTAAGGACTGCACAGATCTAACTATGTACGGTAGCCACTATTTGTATTCAAACTCACAATTAAGTCCAAGCACGCAATCGAACATAAATTAAATCGATTAAGATTGAAATTATTGATTAAAATGAATTAAATGTGAATAAAGTTGATTGAGTGGAGATTTGAATTGAGATTTAGAATTTATATTAGAATAATAATATGTAAATGTAATGATCAAAATTGATGGGTGTAAAACTAAAAGTAGAAGGTTATTGAAAATAATAGGTAGTTAGGAATATGTGTGGGTCGATAGTGAATTAAAATCGATTTTGATGTGTGGGGATGATTTACTGATATTATTTAGTTATTATTATAATATTTAGGAGGGTTTGGTTTAGTTTCTAAATTTAGGTTGTTTTTTAAGTTAAAAAGTGTAAAAAAAAAATAAAAAATATTTGACCAGTCAGAATCGGTTATATTTTAACAATTAGCTGATAGCTATACTACCAAAAAAAAAAAAAAA